ACCCGTGCACCCGCACACACATGAAAATATTAGACAAGAACACCCTATCAAATCTCTACCTCTTCCCTGTACCCTGTAAAAACCATCTCCTTAAACCGCTTTTTAAACTACTACTGCTGATACAAAGTAGCAGGATAAGCTGTCCAGTGTGCATGTCTATACTCTCTGCACAGGGCCATTTGTTTTTCCTTTGATTCTCATATTAAAAGTGGTCTTTGATGCTTTCTAAATTTTGCATGTATAATAAGAAATGTTTAGATACTGTAAGTTGCTGGCAAGTAGTAAAATGTATTGATTGGCCAATATGTATGGTATCCCCCCCCCCCAACCCAGATTATTGAATGTGTGTTTCATGCAGTGCAGTTGATACCAAGTAGTTGATGAAAGACAACACTGCAAGTGGGATTCAGTTTAGTAACAGAGCTGTCCCAGTTTACTGGTGGAAGTATTGGTATTTTTGGTATAATGAGCTGGGGAACGGGAGTTCGAAGGACACACTGTTGTGGCAAATCCACTTAGCCCAAAAAATGGATCGGACATCAGTTATAGAAACAGTAGTCTTTATATAGGACTTCAAAAAAAGGGTGTACAACACATAAAGTAACTGACATCAGAGCAACATATAATGGCTTCCTGAAAACTTTTCTTTTCCTAGCTAAACCTGAGTAACTTCCATCTCTATGAAGTATCTAATGAAAATACGTATTAAATGCTCTTTTTGACAGAAAATTAAATCTATAATTAATAGCTCTCACTAAACATGTGGCTAGCAATTAAATCATTTACAAAATAATCAAAATGCTGTTATCAAACAATAAACTGCAAGAAAGTTACAACATACACCCAGTCCCTCTCCGCAAGTCTTAGTTTGTCTCACCTGAGGTGAGCAGAGGAGGAGAGAGTCCAGATATCAACATCAATGAGATATGTTAACTTTGGAGTCTCACAGTTATTAAAAGCAGTACATGTTACATTGGCAGATGGTGAAGGGCATAAAGTTTGGTCACAGAGTTTATCATCTTTAATAACAAAAATGTATAAATACAAAGAAACACTTTTTTTTTAAGTCTATTTGAGTTGTGTTTCCAGCTTTTTTGTTACACCTCTTCTGTACAGCACAGGAAAAAAACACCTGTGCGTCCTCTATCATAGCCCTTCCAGCAAGCCTGCTCTGTCCTCGAGATGCATTTTATGAAATTAGACATCCAGTAAGATGCCACACAGAGATTATTTTTGGGGGGTTCCACATACAGAGGAGAAACATTTACTGTGACAATAATAAATGGATAAACAAATTGGCTGGGAATCAACACATCTTTATTCTCTACAAAATCTGATTGTATTGATTAATTTGTTACTCCTACTGCAGTTGTGCTCATCAGTAAAAACACACTAGGTAGGTCAGTGTATAGGTAAATATTTCCACTATTAAAGAGTCACACCAGGACTTGTATAATAAACTCCATAAACCCAAGAATGAATTTCAATGGATATTATTTTGGTATTACTATTTTTTTCCCTTTTCTACAATTGATGTCATCAGAGCCTGAAGACAACCATCACAGTTTCATGTTTTATAAAAAAGAAAATAATAAAAATACACCTACACAAATATAATATGCTAATGAAACATTTATATCATTACTAAGACTCGATGATTGCTTTTTTTGCTTGTTTGTTTTACTTCTCCTTTAAATAACGATGTACCCGTAATAACATTCACTACAAAAAAAAAAAAAAAATCTATTATGATAAAAATCTTGGTTTCAAGCTTAATCCTTACTCTTAGATAAGGAAATTAACCATACCAGTATCATAACCTAAGGAGTAGAAAGGCTAATAAAGTAAAATATGATATCAACTACTAAAAAATTACAAATGACTGCACATAAAGTAAGCTGAGTCAATATGTTTGATAAGCCGCCATAACATGAACATTATTAACAGTTGCAAAACTGAACAGTTATTTACCTCCAGAAGCGTTCGTGCATAAAAATGCATGAAAATGACTTCAGAGCAATACAAACTTCAACCTTTTTGCTCTTTACGATGCAATAAATTAAAGCAAGTAAGTCATGTTAAATACATTACAGAATTAGAGTTAAGCAACTTCCAGGGTTAATATACCACATTAAACATTTTCTGGAAACACTGTGACATTTTCCTTAGTAAAGGGAAATGCAGCTTTGAGGCTGTCACATGAGTGGATGTCTGCAGATGCATTGCACACATACTTACACATTGCAAATGTGTGAGTATGTGTGCTGTCCATAAACATTATAATCAATCAATCAAAGCTTTATTCGCCACATGCAGGTTGCCCTGCAGTGAAATGGGGACCCCCCCCGACCTTACACACAACACAGACATTACATGGGGATACAAGTCGGAGATCGGTAGCGTTACAGAAAAACACTGAAATATACACTACAGTGGGAAAGTACAAGAGGAAAAAAAGAGACCTCTACTCATGCTGTGCTTCCATGGTAGGACAGCATGAGAACAGGAAACAAAAAAACTCCTCTGCACAAAAAGCACATA